CGGTCTTCTTACCATCAAAATAGAGTGACGTCAAATTATCTAAACTAGCTATCTCAATTTCTTGCCTCTTAAATCGGTATTTTTGAAATGAGAAATGAGAAAAGGCTGATAATCAATATAGACATAGCACCATACTCATCTGCAACAAGACAACTTAAATGAAATAAGAGATATGGAAAAAAAGTTGATAAACACTGAACAGAACATTGCACCGCCACAGCGGCTGTTTGGCTAGTACTGTAGGTAAATTTAAAAATTTCAGTAGAAAATGCGGCAGACTAAACCTCGACATATCAGCTTCAAATTTGGCATGGAGTCTTAGATATGTATAAGGAACAATGCCTGAAGAGTGCAGCTTTGAGCAAAATTTCACTGCCCCCTATATAATATATATATATATATATTACATATAGCGCTTATAATATATATATATATATATATATATATATATATATATATATATATATATATATATATATATATATATATATATATATATATATATATATATATATATATATATATATATATATATATATATATATATATATATATATATATATATATATATATATATATATATACATATATATGCAAGTAAATCACTGTAGGTGCGCGTGATCTAGGTATATGCTGATAACCACAAGGAAAGAAGAAAACACGAAGTTCCCAAGCGCTTTCGTGTAATTCACATCTTCAGGGGTGAGTACAGACTAGAGAGAGTAATACAAATCAAGGTGTATATATACAGAGGAGGGTGGGACCAGGTCCACAATGGTCAGGTGCTCCAGTGTCTTCTGCAGAAGTCTCCTTCAATAGTTTTACTATGCATTTGAGATGCAGCAGAGCATTTTCACATGACGTGGCCCGACACCACCACCGTGTATCACTCAGATGCTGCAGTTCTCGGACTTGTTCTCCTGGGAACATTTCTCGTCGTATAAAAATGAACCTCTCGTGAACGACAGGGTTAAAGCGAAGATTTAGAGTTCTTCAAGCAGACTGAAGAATTCGGCTGCTTGAGGCATATATTTAGCAGCATTGATCAAAACCAAATTGAGCCTGTGTCCATAATAGGCAAAAGGAGCCTTATCATGAATGAGTTTCTGAACACCACTGATTCCTCCACTCATGACTGATGCTCCATCAAATCCTAAGCCAACAAGTGAAGATTTGTAATCCAAACCGAGTTTTTCCAAACTTTTCAAGATTACGTCCGTGATAGATGCAGCATCCAACGACACCATGGGAGTGAAGGAAATGAAGCACTCCTGAATGCAATGTGACACCATCATAAAAAATACAGTACTTACTCATCAGTGATCCCTGATCACAGATAAACAATTGCGGAATGTGCGTGTAGGTTACCCTATCACTGGTGACTTGGTGAGATACAACTGACACTCGGTTTCTTATTTTAATGCAATTCTTGTACCTTATTTCATTAATATAGATCATTTTTTAACTATAGGAGTATGGAGTAATATTACAATCAGTCAATCATTCAGTTCAAGTCAATCAAGTGGCTGTAGTTGACCTGGGCTGACTTGCTGAACAGTATAAGGTAAATCAGTACAGTCCATCAGTTATATCATTACAAAATGTAGGCCTAAAGCATTCTCATGACATATTAATTATATATTATGAAATAAAATATGTCATAAGAATGCTTTAAGCCTACATTTTGCAATGATATAACTGATGGACTGTACTGATTTACCTTATACTGTATAGCTCAGCTCAACTACAGTCACTTGAACTGAATGATTGAGATTGACAGATTGTAATATTACTCCTATAGTTAAAAAATTACTCACGTGTTCTCTCTAAACATACCTCACTTAGCAAGTAGAAAAACCCACAGTGGCACTGTAGCAGACGAAATACTTCTTCTGGGTAGTTTCGGCGACAAATTCGACAATTACTGTCAGTCTGTCACCCTCCTCAGTGGAAATACAGAGTGGTAATGTTCATCACCGACAAGGCAGTTTGTTTATATACACCGTGATGTGACCCCACCCCGCATATGTGCACCCTCCCAATTCCTGCCCTCCGGGCCTCACCTCACCTCACCTCAGTGATCTCACCTCACCTCAGTGATCTCACCTCACCTCACCCATGCCTGCATCTGGCGTGCGGCGCGCCCATTGCCTGAGTCACTTGACTCACTTCCTGGTTTTGGGAATGTTTTTGGAATTACAATTTTGAGAATAAAAAGTGGGGGGGCCAACCCAGGGCCAGCCAAAATCTGGGGGCATGGCCCCCCCTGGCCCCCCGTAGAATCGCCCCTGCTAGCTTAGGACGGTTAGGTTAGATTAATGTTAGGTTAGGTTTAAGGTTAGTCAGGTTGGTTAACTTGAACTTTTAAATAACCACATTTGAACACATTTGCCATAACTATAAGTGTCTACTATAAAACAGTAAGTAATGTATGGTGTTTTTAGTGTCCACTATAAAACAGTAAATAATGTATGGTGTTTTTAGTGTCCACTATAAAACAGTAAATAATGTATCGTCTTTTTAGTGTCCACTATAAAACAGTAAATAATGTATGGTGTTTTTAGTGTCCACTATAAAACAGTAAATAATGTATCGTCTTTTTAGTGTCCACTATAAAACAGTAAATAATGTATGGTCTTTTTAGTGTCCACTATAAAACAGTAAATAATGTATCGTCTTTTTAGTGTCCACTATAAAACAGTAAATAATGTATCGTCTTTTTAGTGTCCACTATAAAACAGTAAATAATGTATGGTGTTTTTAGTGTCCACTATAAAACAGTAAATAATGTATGGTGTTTTTAGTGTCCACCATAAAACAGTAAATAATGAATGGTGTTTTTATTGTTCACTATAAAACAGTAAATAATGTATGGTGTTTTTAGTGTCCACTATAAAACAGTAAATAATGTATGGTGTTTTTAGTGTCCACTGTAAAAGAGTAAATGTATGGTGTTTTTAGTGTCCACTATAAAACAGTAAATAATGTATGGTGTTTTTAGTGTTCACTATAAAACAGTAAATAATGTATGGTGTTTTTAGTGTCCACTGTAAAACAGTAAATGTATGGTGTTTTTAGTGTCCACTATAAAACAGTCAATAATGTATGGTGTTTTTAGTGTCCACTGTAAATCAGTAAATGTATGGTGTTTTTAGTGTCCACTATGAAACAGTAAATAATGTACATTTACGCTGTTTTTGTTTACGAGTTTGGTCATTTACGCGGTGCCTTGCCAGAAAGAAAATGCTTTAATTACGCGGTAAATTTCGTCATTTACGCGGAGAGCGGCTGGAGAGGTCCAAACCGCCGCGCCATTTTTTACCCAGACGGTCCATTCTTGACCAGACGTGGGAAGCGGTGCAATGAGTGGTGCGCATTAGGCCGCTCTTACGTTATCGCTGACGTCATTTGACGTATTGGACTGTGATTGGGCCATGCATCCTTACCACCCAAGCATTCCCTCCACCGCTAGCTGTGATTGGTCTAATGTAACATGACGTGCCCTGCCACCAGAGGGTAGAAGTCGCCTGTCTCATTGTTCTCAGTCCGCATTTACAGTTCTCTCTTGTGCCCGCTATTCCCCTCATAACTTATAATGGCTTCCGCGGGTTCCCCACCACCACAGAAAAACATTGAATTACATGTACCAAGCCATGATAATGTGAAGGAAATCATCGAGTTAGGGGAGAAAATTAAGCTCATCCTTGACAACGACCCAGACAAGCATCGGTATGAAGAGTCTAATAACCATCTGACGAAAGTTATGGAGTCGTATATCCAGATCTATCTCGACAACATCAATGCTAGATGTCAACGTAGTATTGAGGACTTCCTCGCCCGCAACCCACCACAACCACAGCCAGCCCAAGTCAATGATAGTGATAGTGACAGTGAGGATATGGACTTTGAGAGGTTTGTCTGGGAGGCCCTGCAAACCTCTACGAGTAGTGAAAGTGAAAGTGATTCACCGGAGGGCAACTAATCTGCCCTCTGCCGCGGAACCAGCCGCCATCCACGTGTGCCGACCCTGCTTTTCTACTAACGTAAGTGTTAAAAAACCTATTATGGTATTATTGATATTTCTCTTAATTATTAATTGTGTGTGCATACCATCATGAAATTAAGACGTTATTTTGACTACAAGGTACGTATTGTGTCGGAAAAAGTGGAGTTTGGGGGTCGGCCCAGTCTCTATTTCAATTCATCCCACATGTTCTGTTATTTCATTTACGTGTTTCTCATTTTACGCAGGCCTCCACGGGTTCAATTGACCGCGTAAATGCAGACTATACTGTATGGTGTTTTTAGTGTTCACTATAAAATAGTAAATGTATGGTGTTTTTAGTGTCCACTATAAAACAGTAAATAATGCATGTGATGTATGGTGTTTTTAGTGTCCACTATAAAACAGTAAATGTATGGTGCTTTTAATGTCCACTATAAAACAGTAAATAATGTATGTAATGTATGGTGTTCTTAGTGTCCACTATAAAACAGTAAATGTAAGGTGTTTTTAGTGTACACTATAAAACACGACACGTTATTTGTTTTGATGTTTATTTTCTTAATATGTTTTCATGATTAGTTTACAGTTTCAGCCCCAACTTCCTTTCGACCATAATTTTTTTTCCCCTGATATTTGCTGCGATTCATTTGAATTTGACCTTTATTTCCGTCAGAAATTATTTGTTTTGGCGTTATCACCCCCCCCCCACCCATAAAACATTGATCCTAACCAACCAAAGAAACCTGCCTAACCTTTCCTAACTTCCTAGCCATCTCTGCCTTGTTAAATGGGAAGTACTTATTTTGATATCTGGTGCCAATGAAAGCAACTTTGTTGGGTAAAATTTTCGTTTTGGTCATGTAGCAAATTTTAGGATTTTAAGTTTTGGAATCAATATGTTAGACAATTTTAAGGTGCTTTTTCTCCATAGTGTTTCTGTTGGAAATTTATATTTTTTGATAAAATTACCAACAATATTACTGTACTACTTGCTTAAAGTGGACAGGGCTTTAAGGTATAGAGGGAAAATGTGGGGTGAAATACGCCCCCCCCCCCCGAAAAAAACACTAAACAAACTTTTGAAAATCCGACCTAACCTAACCTTAAAAAATCCTAAAACTATAATTTTTTTTACATTACTTATATTTTTGGTGTTTTGTAACTGACGGTGTATACCAGGTGAAGCCGTGACCACTTGAACTGCCTCAGCATTGTTTTAAATAAATTAGATAATTTCAGACATACTGTACATACTTGTACAAATATACCTATAATGCCATGATATATTGTGTTGTCAATCTGTGGAAGTCATCTTCAGTATTGTCAATTTACAACCACCATAAAATATTTTTGACTTTATTACTTTACATGTTAATGGTATTTATTAAGTGTCTTTTTTTTCCCTGACTTTTGTCCATTCACAGAACATAACTTGGCACTTAAATTACAGTAATTTGTTTGGAGTGATTTACCCCTTATATCTTATATATGTACATACTGTACATCACTGCCAGAACATCCATGTCATAATTGTTAACTAATGCTCTGTCCTTCCTCTGCACTCCAGACAGTCACGAGGATTGAGTCACAAGTCACTAATTGACATCTTCTCTCTTGTACAGGAAAAGGTAAGAGTTTTGTTATCTGTTTAATTATGGTGTTTAGGGAGACTTTAAAATATCATTCAAGTGTATATTCCATAACAAGAACTTTACAACACTTCATTAACCTGTGGAGTACAGTATGATGAATTAACCAGTTGAGTAACATATGTTGAGTATGAAGACAACAATATCCCATTGAGTAAGTATATCTTTAGCATGATGACTTAAACTATTGAGTATCATGAAATGGTCCATTGAATAAATAACCAGAATATGATGACAGTCTTTTAACTGCCATGACTACCTTTTTCATCTCCTTGAGTATGATTAATGACTTAATGCCTTGACTATTTGTAAACAAACAAATACAGCTCCTCCCCGACTTACGACGGGGTTTGGGAACCAAATCCAGGTCGTAAGTCGAAATGGTCGTAAGTCGAAAATGCTTAAATAATACATAGAAAATCTAAAATGGGTGTCTCTTTTTCTTCTCCGCACCACAAAACTCTCGCTTTTAAGCCTGCCAGACATTTTAAAGTGAAATGCAAAAGAAAATATTGTCTGTGTACTGACGTTGAGACTCGAAAACACGTAATTTGACAAAATTTTGGTACGACTGAGGCAGGTCGTAAGTGCGGGTGGTCGTAAGTTGAGTAGGTCATATGTCGGGGAGGAGCTGTACATTGTTTTGGTTTGACATGAAGGAAACCAGGTTGGATCCACCCCAATAAGTCAAGTCAAGTCTTCCTGTAGAGTTGAGGAGGTCTGTTGTCTGCCATTAAAATTTGTCTCACATGAGACTGGGGAAGTGAGAGTGAAGGGCTGAGTCATCTGTACAGAATTGTTTGTCCACAGTCCTTGTGCTGACGAGATACACTCAATAGTGCCACCACCAAGCACCCTGTATTGGCCTGTGAGGACCATGACTTATCTGCTCAAATTGTATTGTGTACTAGCACTCTGTGCAACTCCCTACCTCAGTGTTTTTCTTCTGTGGTATAACCTCAATCACTTCAGCCTTCAAGAAGAGGATGCCTTGGTGAATAAATTTGACAGTGACACTTGTCTAATTTCTCTATTTGTTTGTTAAAAATAAGAAATGTACAGTAGTGTACTTGTGGTGGGAATATTATCTAAGGTTAAACTTCATGTTTCAGACATTGTGACGCTACATCTCAGGAGCAAATGTGATGCTAAGTACACAATGTCCTGTGGGAAAAAAACATACTCCTGTGAGGAATGTGGCAAGTCATTTGGCTGGAAGAGTTCTCTTAAGAAACACATAATTGCACACAATAGTGTGATGAATGTGGGAAACATTTTTCAGACAAGGGTTATCTCAAGAGACATATTCTTGTTGTTCACTGTGGTGTTAAAAACTTTAAATGTGATGAATGTGGGAAACATTTTTTCAGGGGAGGCTCATCTCAAGAACCACATTCTTGCTGTTCACTGTGGTGTTAATAACTGTAAATGTGATGAATGTGGGAAACATTTTTCATGAAATAGTCATCTCAAGAACCATATTGAGTCTGTTCACTGTGGTATTAAAAATTTAAATGTGATGAATGTGGGAAACATTTTTCAGGGAAGGGTTCTCTCAAGAACCACATTCTTGCTGTTCACTGTGGTGTTAAAAATTTTAAATGTGATGAATGTGGGAAACATTTTTCAGGGGAGGCTCATCTCAAGAACCACATTCTTGTTGTTCACTGTGGTGTTAATAACTGTAAATGTGATGAATGTGGGAAACATTTTTCATGAAATAGTCATCTCAAGAACCATATTGAGTCTGTTCACTGTGGTATTAAAAATTTAAATGTGATGAATGTGGGAAACATTTTTCAGGGAAGGGTTCTCTCAAGAACCACATTCTTGCTGTTCACTGTGGTGTTAAAAATTTTAAATGTGATGAATGTGGGAAACATTTTTCAGGCAAGGGTCATCTCAAGAACCACATTCTTGCTGTTCACAGTGGTGTTAAAAACTTTAAATGTGATGAATGTGGGAAACATTTTTCCATGAAGGGCAATCTCAGGAGTCATTTACTTGTGCATGAAAAAAATATGATTAAATAAATTTTTGAATCAGTTCAGCAGAAGAGTAATGTGACACTTGAATACATCAACTTAACACCACTTGAGCAAACTTTATGAATGTAGCCCAAGATGTTATTACCATATTTACTCATGCATAAACTGGTCTCATATGCAGTTTGATCCCTGATTTTCTTGTTAAATAATTGTGAGCTTTTCATATAGCTCTTGTATAATATGACCCTAGCTTTTGAGAAATACTGTACAGTACAAGGTACCGGTATAATCCCAGACATAATTAGTAGAAAGACGCCAGATTCTCACCAGTACGTCTTGGCCGTGATCACCACCATGACAGCAGACGCTATGAACAGTGTTACCACCTCTAAAACTGAATTACTGTCAGAATCTTATTAGCTGTGTTGTTTTTTAATGAGTTCAGTATTAAGTTTATAAGGAAAAATTTTTAGGGAAAAGGTTTTATTAAATAAGGATTTTCACAAACTGGTCACCTAAATGAGGATATATGTTTCAATATAAGATGTAGAGGAAAGAATTATCTTTCCAAATATATGTATATACAACTTTATACCTATATTTAAAACTATTAGTTATGAGGCATATATGAATAAATTACATTACAGTATACCTGAAACTGAAAGATTTAGCAGCAAGCTACTGTATATTGAACTGCCAGAAATTGTTAGTTGGAGAAAGTAACAGAAATATCATATAAGGTATACATTTTTTTTAAGAAATATATATACATACATACATACAGTGAACCCTCGCTTTACGCGGTCAATTGAACCCACGGAGGCCCGTGTAAAGCGAGAAACGCGTAAAGTGAAAAACATAGCATATGGGATTAATTGAAATAGAGACCGGTGGAGTGATGGGTTGTCAGACCACAGCTTACATCTCAGAAACAGTCCAGACCTGACCCGACATTAGGGGGGTCAAGTGTAAGGGTGCCCCTTGCGACCGCTCAAGGGGGTTACAAATCAACCAGCACCCCTCCGTTGTCACACGGCCCCAACAAATATGTAAGAGACACACAGTCAGAAGAAGCCACCTGCCAACCCTCCCCCAATTTACACAACAACCTGCAGTACATCTCAGACAAGGTCCAGACCTGACCTCACATTAGCCAGGTCAAATGTAAAGGGACCCCTCGCAGCCCAAGTCAAGGGGCCACAAATCAACCAGCACCCCTCTCATGTCACACTGCCCCATCAACGATGTTAACAAGCACGCATTCATCAGAAGATTCCCCCAAAATATCCAACAACTTACAACTCCGAAAAAGTCCAGACCTGACCTTACATTAGCGAGGTCAAATGTAAGGAGACCCTTCGCCGCCCCCCCCCAATCAGCTCAACCTGACGGCTCGTCTCCCAATATATAGGACGTCGTAGCCCTCCCTCACGAGAGAGTGTCTTGTAACCAAGAAGGGCCAGCAACAACGTCCCCGCCTCGAGAGAAGTCCCGCCACTAAGTGTAACAAGGTCTCAGCTGGGTCCATCGA